ATGCGAGTGAAGAATGAAAAAATGCAGCAGTAGTTGGAAGGCAGACTGGACCATCATTCTAGGGACAATTTTTTTTTCTGCAAGGATAAAAAATGTTTAGTTACTGGTCTCTCCTTGCTGCATCTGAGCAGCATCATACCACTGTCATACAGGACAGATGTGCAAGGGAAAAAAATGAAAAGCAGCTATTGGATCAAAAATGGAACCTCTGTTGCACTTTTTACTGTTTTAAAATTAGTGTCATTGTGAATGTCCATGCATACCACTGCCTTCTCAGTCCTTGGGTTCCTAAGGGACTGATTTCCCTCAAACTTCACCAAGACAACACTCTCCTCAGACCTTTCTGGAAGATCTGGAGGTCTGTATCCTGCAGACAGGCAAATACAATGTACATTTTAGTTGAGTTTCAGTATCTTGCCACCATTGCAGAAATTTGCAAAACTTTTTTTCTTGTTTAATTACTGTTTAATGTACAACATGCTTTAAATATGCTCCGAACAACCTCATCAATTGGCTAAGTTATTAAATTAGTATTTTTCATGAGGTAAATCCTTGAACTAGGTATTGAGTGTAGCTTAGTAAGAAAATAATTTTTAGTATATGTTTGGAAGCCCTCTATTTAATTAGTGTTCAGTATCTAATGTTACCTGCAAAAATATGCAAATTCTTCTTGATCTAATTATGTAAATCAGGGCTTCTAAATGTCTATAGTTTTGCATATTTGTAGGTATTTAAAATGTCAATCCCACACATAAAATAAATCACTGTATTAAATATATATACTGTAGCTAGAGAGAGAGAGAAGTCTTTTGTTGTTTAGCCATTATAATTTGTAATAAAATTCAGAAAGTATTTATAGAAATTATTCCAAGAACTTACCTTCTGCTTTTGTGAGATTCCATATATATTCTTCAAGCTAATGATCTAGATTGGATTTATATTTATCAGTCCTATAGTAGAACAGATTTTTTTAAATTTTTTTTTATATATATTTTTTTAAGATCCTGGGGAATTTTAACAAGATAACCACAGGTGAAGTGATGGTGGCGCTTAAGAGAGCAACCTAAAAAGTTGTACAGTAATCTCGCAAAAAATTTATTTCTGCATGGTCTGGTTTACTGGATTTGTGCATGTTTTATTATTCTATGGGAACCCAGCCACTCTGGTGATAATTCCACCATGTTCTGGTCTCAATAATGATACCAAGTCTTCAGCTGACTTAATAGGTGCACTAAGTAAGGGTAACGTCAAGGGCCTTCAGCTTCCAGAAGCAGAAGCAGTAGGGTGCTGTTCTCTGCCACTACTGGCTTCACAGCTGCAAGGTTTTTCAGTTTTGTGTTGCCAATTTAAAACAAGAATTCAAAAATTTGCCACATGATGGCACCAGAAGAGAAGATAATTCCTGGGACAGATGCGTGGCAAACTGCAGTGCTGTCAGCAGCACAGCTCAGCTGCACAGTGATGTGCAGATGAATAGTTTGTGCAAATTACGATAGCATCAGTGGCTCTTACAAAGTACTGATTTAGTGACCCCATAATAGTGTCCACAACTTTTTTTAATCTTTATTTCAAATTTGTTATTCATATTGGACCAGCCCACAGACCTCCCATCTTTTTATTTGTTAATTTTAATGATCTATGTACAGAACTTCCCAGGTTTCTTGGTATGCTGTAGGTCTATAGACTGCCGAGATGTGAAACTTCCCATGACAAGGCACCTGACCTTTCTTCTCCTCACGCTTTCCACAGAGGATAAGTACGGCGAGCGGAGACGGCAGGCATTATTGCTACCCACACTTTACATGTGCAGTGGACACAGAAAATATCCGCAGAGTGTTCAACGACTGTCGAGACATCATTCAAAGGATGCATCTCCGCCAGTACGAACTCTTGTGAGGGGATCACTGTGGAACCTGTGGTTTTAAATTCTTTGCTCCTTACTCTTTCTCTTGATGCTACCCCACACAGGCTGGAAGAATATACTATAGAAATGTCAGTCTCTTCACTTTGTTTACTTTAATTATTTAACCTTAAAGCTGATTTGAAGCAAGTTTGGGTTGGTTTTCCTTCATGCTTTTTGGGACTATTTTTGTGCTTTATTTTGACATACCACTTCTTCGTCATTCCACTAAGCCCTTTGGCTACCTCTGTTCCCTTAGGTTTTGTTTTTGTAACTGAAGGTGACCTGCTAAATTTTTTCCAGCAGGTTAACATCAGTTCAAACTGGTATGTCAGCTGGATGACACTAAAGTCATACCTATCCCTCTGTGTGGGTTTCCTTTTTAACATGACATTGAAGAGTACTTGATGGGTGAAAAAAAGATTAATGCACTTTGTATCAGGTTATTAAATACTGTTGAGGAAGTAGACACACAATGTAGCAGCACCACAATATTTATTACTCTGTCACAGTTTTTAGCATTTCTGAGTTGCAGGTCAACTGATAAAGTGACCTCCTCTTTTAAGCCGTTACTGGCACAGGAAGTAGAGTAGATAATGAGAGGAATAGTGAAGACAAAGCAATTTTTCTGGGGTTTTGGAGCTAAGTGTCTCTGTACACCTCAGGCATTTGAATTACAGCTACTTTTCAGCCTGTTGCATCTAGGCAGAAAATTTATCACCCTCACTTATGTTATTTGTGCTGTCCACAAATGATCCTTTTAGTTCAGATCATTCTTGGACAACAGTCCTCTCCCTATATATATTTTTTTGTTTTACTGCTGGTTTATTATATTGTACAGACTGTAAAATGTAATATTATTTTGTACAACTTTATTGAAGAAAAATACTTGTAGAAGATCTTTGTGCCTTGATTATGGCTGTACCTGTAAAATGAGCTAAGATGTAAGTATGTTTTTGATTGCGCTGTACAGCTTGATGTCAACCTTACCTGCAGCAGTGACTGGAGGTAAGAACTTTATCTGTAGAGTTTAGGGGTTTTTTTTCTGGTTTATATAAAAATGCTCTTTAGTATAAAAATTCTAAATTATGCAAATTAACCACTTACCTTTCCAAGTAAGGTATTACAGTCACCGGATGTTGCAGCAAACATGCCTTTCTCTTTTGAAGTCTCAGCTTTAAAACATTGGAATTCATTCAAGTGTCCAAATTGCAACCTGGTGTTGTTTTAATGGGAACCAAGGATTTTATTTTTTTCCTTTATATTTAGGAAATATGTTTGGTAATTCTTTGGTCATTCATAGAACTTCACAATTGCACAGGCCAATTGTGAATGTGTAAAGCACCATTATATAGAGCTCTTCAATCTTTGTACCAACAGCAGCTTTCATTGTGCAAGTAAATAGCGAGAAAGAAGAAAAAAAAAAAAGGTGTATAAACCCTTGTGTCTGGCCTAAGAGAATTACAAGATGACATTTTTATTTCTCTTTTAATAAAGAGACACATTAGAAAATTGTTTTATTTTAAATATTGTAGAATCAAAATGTGTGAATATTTCTCAAACTTGAATAATTTATGCAAATGACATTCTCAAAACAAGTTGTGGTACAGTACAATATATAAAAAGCAAGAATTGCTGTAGCAATAAGGCATGTCCTTTTTAGTAACTATAACACTGCTTTATATTTTATACATAGGTGTTTTATGTCTGTGACTATATACTTTTCCTGTGTCCAACATAACCTGTACAAATGTCTAAAATTACAGTTGCAATAACAGAAACCTAGAGAAGTGTTAGACTACATTACTTTATAGAGTGTTTTATCACACTTTGGACCATTTCCCCCACTTCATTTTAAACTTAGGGAGAGATTAAGAGCTAACACATTCTCCACATTGGCATATAAATCAGCAGGTTTGATTAACTTTTTACTATAAGCACCGTTATTAGTTATAAACCCCAATCAGTTGGTTTTTTAAATTGAGACTACAGATGAATTGAGAACTTGTTTCTATTTGATGATAAACAATCCCATTTTAGATACTATAATATGACTATTTCCTCTTCCCAGAAATGTGTATACTTTGATATTTGAGCCAGAAAGTGAAAGGCTGAGTGGAATAAGCTAATAATAAATAAATTCCCAAATGCAAAGATTCTCTCACTTCCCATGCCAAAGAAAGTAATAGAGCGAATAACAAAGGATGGTCTTTTCTTTAAAAAAGAACCCCAGCCCAGGAGTTCAGGTTAGAGCTCCCAGCCTCTGCAAGAAAATGTCCGCAGGAAAACTGGTCCTGATGTGAAATAGTCCCTCAAGTTTTTCTCGGGTGGGTGGGGAGTAGCAGTAGGTTTGTCGCTTCTTCCCTAATACAAAGCAGGCTAAGATGCTGAGCTCAGATTTTACATTGGCTGTGCTGCCATCCTGGTGGGATGTGAGCTTTGGGCACTGCAGCACGGCTGGCAGCCTCCCTGTCCCTGTGAAGAGCTAGCGCAGTTCAAGATGTGACTCTACAACAGTTAACTGAACATGGCAGGAATCTAAAATAACATGCATTCCTATCCCTATCTATCCGTAGACCGAGGGCCAAGGCATAGGATGATGTTACTGCAGCTGTATTTGACCTTCCTTCTTGCAGAAGATCGTCAAGTGGAGGGCCCCTCACCACACCGATCTCTGGGATGCAATAGGGCCCTCTTTTTTTAAGCTCATCATAGCACATATTTTTAAAAATAGCAGCTTGAGGTGTCACCCTAATTTTTTTTAAGCAGGTTTCAAGTGTGTATCAGCAAACTGGATCCACAAGCTTCTTCCCGTTGTTGTCTGGTAGACGATAACTGCAAACTGTAGTTGGATAGCAATTTAATGTCTCGGGAACTGGAAGATTTCTTGTCCCAAACCACAGTCCCTTACCTACAACATTCTAAAAAGGTTACAGAAATTCGGATCTCCCAGTGCTGTTGTATCTGCCTGACCCTAACAAACAGAAGTATGACATTAGAAGGGCCATGCAGCAATAAAACAGAGAAACATTTCCAGTTTGCAGGACTGAGCCTCCACCAGGGTAAGACACCAGTGCAGATAAGTGATGAGGCTATAGGATTTACATATGTACAGTTACACTTTTAATATACATATTTGATACAAAAATTACAGCAGGAAAAGGACTCATTTGATTGTAGAATACAGTATTTTTGTACAGCATGAAACATTAATTTCAGTTAATTATTTATCCTGTAGTAGTCATATCAGCTGTATAGGACTTATATGGTATGTGTAAATGCAACCTGCCTTCAGACTAGCAATCAAATTAGGTCATTTGCTGGCATGAATATAGTCTGATGTTTGACTGTTCTCAGCTTTGGTATTTCAGTGACTGAATGCAGATGTCTGGCTCTTCATACTGCTTTACGCTTACTGATTAAACGCTGAGCAAAATAAAATGGTGGAGTGAGAAGCTGAAAATGAGCTAGTATCAGGATTACAAGCAGAGCACCTGCTGCACAGTATATAGTAAAGACTCTGCTTTCATATGGAAGGAAGCATTTTTGGAGGGAGAAGTCAGTTGGTGTTATGCTGCCCTGGAAAAGAAATGAAGACTGTCACTTTGCTGTTACGGTGGGTTCTGAATTAGGAGTAAACACCACAGCTATCAGATCTCTGATTTCTAAATTCTGTGTTGGGTGGCAAGGGTTGGGGCCAGTTTCCTAGTACCAGTGCCTTCTCCAGGGGGCTGAAGAGTCCATACCTTGCGGTGCTGGGCACTAACTGGAATATTCTAGCCCAGAGGCCAATCTTCCTTATATTCCATCTAGTGTAAATAGAGAGCTGGGCTCCTCATCTGATCTGCCTTCAAGAGAAGCCTAACTTTAGCTGCTGTAAATCCACCTAGAAGGAGCCTTCCCAAGCTAAAGTTAGGTTTTGTGAATGTGCCCCTTCCTCCCCTCAAGCCCCTCCTCCTACCCAGTACATGCTGCAAAAAAACACGTTGGCTAATCCAAATTCTGAGTAACAAAGAACTTAATTGGTTTTTGGCTTGACTTTGCAGTTCAAATTAAAGTTTACAACAGACAGAGGCCGAGTTAAAACAGTAGTGAAGATGATGCAACTTCAATTAGCCAACCTGGTTTTGCAGTGAAGATGCACTGTCTGGCATGTGCAGGGAGCATGTGTAGTTTGAAGGCAGCTACTCTCAGGAATATGGAATAAACAGAACTACTTTCAACAAGAAATACTGACAGTTGCATAAAATGCATTTAAAAGTTTGGGGTTATCTGTGTATTAAGTAGCCTAAACTCAACAGCAGTAAAGATACACGAAAGATTTGTCCCCAGGTCACAGACTACTCTACAAACAGACTGTAGCTTTTGCTTCTTACTCACAAGTTTCTAGGAGTTCTGTTTTATTTCTGAACTGGGGAAGTAATTGATTTACTCTACAGATATACTGAGCACTGGAACTACCTGCAAGAGCATAACCAACACACTGTATAAAATGTGAATTGGAAACAAGGAGGCAGACTACTGGCATGTTGACAAACATTTTCACTGTGTGAAGCAGCTAATGCACAAGTTTGAAAACCATGATCACCATGCAAAAGATTTTGAGGCGAATACGGTCTTGTTTTCATAGTTGGTAAAACAACCAAGCCAAACTAGTCTTTCTACTGTTCAGTGCACAATACTGATTATTTTTACAAGTCAAGAGTTTACAGTGCACCCTCTTTATAAGAAAACATTAGATGCTTGTGCCCAGATACTAATTAGATCCTTAACAGCATTGCTTTGTACCACACACAACACGTGGCTCCCACAGATGTACTTTATAAAGTGGATGCAGTGTACTGAGCGGGTTGGGTTGGTAGGAAATTTTTTATTTTTTGTTTTTACAGGTAGAATCAGTTTTAAAATATAGCTGACTGCCATGTTGATTTATTTATGAAAGTTATCTGACAAAAATAAAAAAAATTAAAACTTACCATGATGAAACTAGGATTGTTTCTATTCCTCCAACTGAATGACGGGACGCTGATTTCTGGAATTTTCCCCACGTGCAGCACTTCACAAGCACTATGTGTATGCCCACTGAGAATCAGACGGGGATGAAACCACCATATCAGCTAGAATACAAAATGGTAAAGCACAAAAATTAAATTATCAATAAAAATAAATTGAGCTTAAGACCCTTCTTTTTCTTCTGACAGGATGAAATTATGGGGATTCTAATATTCTCACAAAGTGTCTTGTGTAAACTTCTCTTTTCCAGCAAGATGTGTTGATATTGTGATATTAATCATGCCCATTTGTCCCTCATCCCAAAAAATGGAATATTTTTTTGTCCATAGAGATGAGAAAAACAAAGGCAATAGCATGCTGTTGACATCACAGACAGGAAAACTTTGGGTTTAGTAAAGCAATGCTGTTTTCTTGTCTAAGGGAGAATCTTGTACTGCCCATCTTGAGTGAAGACATCTATACGAAAGGAAACAAATACTGCCCGTTAGATTTTCTGGAAATATTTTCCTTGTAGTTACTAATTCAGCAAAAGCAGTGCCTTCCAAGTGTTGGGAAATTGTCTTTCTGTCAGGTTTGTCAATAATCTACCCTGCACAGAAAGTACGAAATGCTGAGCAGGAGTTAACAGCACTGCAGCAGACAAGAGCGCCGGGACTCATGGCCTGTACTTGGGAAGCCCAACAGAATCAAGGCCACGATCGCGATGATCCTCAGGGGAGCAGCTCTAACAAGCAGCCTCACAAAGGCCTCATTAAAGTGGGAATAGCTATGGTCTCAGCTAACATCCTTTCCAAAACTTATATATATATATATATATATCTACACTTGTGTCT